GTGGGTCATCTAGTCCAACCCTCCTGCCGAAGCAGGGTCACCCAGAGCAGGCTGCACAGGACCTTGTCCAGGCGGGTCTTGAATATCTCCAGAGAAGGAGACTCCACAACCCCCCTGGGCAGCCTGGGCCAGGGCTCCGTCACCCTCAGAGGGAAGAAGTTCTTCCTCATGTTCAGCTGGAACTTCCTGTGCCTCAGTTTTTGTGCCCATTGCCCCTTGTCCTGTCACTGGGCACCACTGAAAAGAGCTTGGCCCCATCCTCCTGACACCCACCCTTCAGATATTTATAAGCATTTATTAGGTCCCCTCGCAGCCTTCTCTTCTTCAGGCTGAACAAGCCCAGTTCCCTCAACCTCTCCTCGTAAGGGAGATGCTCCAGTCCCCTCATCATCCTTGTAGCCCTCCACTGGACTCTCTCCAGTAGCTCTTCATCTTTGTTGAACTGGGGAGCCCAGAACTGGACACAGTACTCCAGATCGGGCCTCACCGGGGCAGTGTAGAGGGGAAGGAGAACCTCCCTCGACCTGCTGGCCACACTCTTCTTGATGCACCCCAGGATTCCATTGGCCTTCTTGGCAGCCAGGGCACACTGCTGGCTCATGGTTAAGCTGTCGTCCACCAGGACTTCCCGCACTTCGAATGCGAAGACGGGCTTTTCCTAATTTCTCTCCTGTTTAACCTTCTGCGCAAAGGCAGTGCTGGGCATCACACCACAGCGGTTGCACCCATCTTTTCAAACTCTAGGCCAACGTTCTGTTTACGAATGTTGATAAAAATGCTTCTGAGAAGAAGTATAAATTGCCATATTAAATGACCAGGAACCTGCCATCCTGGTGAAAATTTACAAAAAACCATCAAAGTAATGAACAGAACTTGGCCAGAGAGTTAAGACTTGCAAATACGGCTTTAGCAACAGCTCCACAAGAAGTTGTTTGTTTTGGTTGGGGTCTTTAGAAAACAAAACGGTTAATCTGAAAGCGGCATGTTTTATGTGGTTGTCAACAGTTTTCTGCTGCTTTGTGTTCTGTTACTGTTTTGTGTTATGAAGAAGGATTAGTCAGGGAAAAGCTGCACTTTTGGGGAAAGAGGATTCCAAGTGCCTGGGGATGGGGAAAGACTGTTTTACTGTAGAAATACTACACAGGATGGGGAAATACTGTTTTACTCGTAACTCAATGCAGCGAGAGAGGAGCGGGTGGTCCTGGTTTCTGCTCACCTTTCCCACACGCCGGCGCAGGGAGTCCTCGATCGTCGTGGGCTCCACACGGCTCAGAACAGGAGCGAGTTTCTGCAGCGGTGGGGCCATCTCCCCACAAAAAACTAAATCCAGGTGTGAATTGTACTATTTAAATCTAGACTAACTCTAGGGACCTCAAATAAATAATAAAGACAGACATCTAGCCTTGACAACTAACTGGATATTTCTCTCCAGGAGCTCAGGTAGGGGGGTTGGCTGCTCGTTGGCTGGCACCCCCACTGCCATGTTTAAAGGTCTCTATGAATGAACGTCCATGCGTCACATCATTGTTTTTTCAACCTGGAGAGGTTTCTCTGCGCTCGAATTGTTCTATAGCAATGTGGTAAACACTTCCTGCAGACAATTTGTTTGCAAGCTTGGATTTTATATAACCCAGGAAATGAAGTCACCCGCGCCGAGGGCTGCCTGTAATGCTTCAGTCCCCTGGTTCCTCCGACGCGCAGGCACCGCAGACATGAAAATCCAGAAGCAATGATGAACTGGTGGAAAGAAAAAGGGTCCAGAACAGTTTCTCCATTCATTGTCCTTGTATTCAGAAATTCAGAAAGTTGCAGAGAACTTCCACAGCCTTCCAGCCATTTCTTTTTATCCCTGGTGCCAAAATTAGAAGTAAATTCTGATCCCTCTCCTCCTCTTGTCTTCATTGCATTGGGGAACAGACCAGGACACGACGCATAGGAAGGGGGTGAAATTTCTGTCCATATCTTTAACGCAGCATCGCGTCTTTTTTTGTTCTTTACTTCATATTTCTATTGGTTACAAAATACGCACATCCATTTCTGTTAACTTCCCTGCTTTTGCATCGTCAGTGTTCTGGAAAAATGCTATATAGCTACAGCGAGCTCCATTTCTGTTAACTTCCCTGCTTTTGCACGTCAGTGTTCTGGAAAAATACTATATAGCTACAGCGAGTGCAGCATTCCCTGCTATGGGCTAGGGGCTCTGAGAAGTTCACAGCTTTCTGGTTCAAAATTAACTTGGATTTGACCACCTTTGGAGCTTTCTCCAGGTTTTATTTGTTTCAGAAAGCCTTTGAGGAAATTCAGGGAAGTGCAAGGTGCTTTCTGACTTGGAACATTATTTGCATTTTACCTGAATATCTGTTTCTTGGGAAAAGAGATAATAAGATCAGATTAAAGTGCGCTGATATTTTTGGAACTCTAAGAAAGCGGCGGACTGCTGGGATCCTCCAAATGACTTCTTTCTTAGTGCACACTAAAATCATACCCACAGGATTTGCCAAGTCATGTCCTGAACCTCAGTCGTGCCACCAACCCTACAGAGGTGCTCAGAATTACATTTACGCTTTTGTGCCTATCCCATGCCTTCTGCTTTATCTGACATCAAAATGACCTTTTTCTAAGTTTTTAAGGATTTTTTGCCTGTCTTTATGAAATGTAAAAGCAGTTGTCCCCGCTGCGATCGATCTCCCGAGCCGTGCTACCCTGCAGCCATGCAGGCTCCTGCCCGGCCCTCACCACCACGCAGCTGCCATGCGTGACCTCCACACGGTCTGCCCCCAAAGTCCTCTAACTACATCAGAGGAACCAAAACGTTAGTAAGCAGAACAACGTTTCCTCCCAATGGTCACAACAAATCCCATTACAAAGAAGGAGGAAAAGGAGAGACAAAATATGAAATGTAAGAAGACTACAGGAATTTCACGCTGTAGACAAAAGAATAATCCTCGGCTGCCTGACATCCTGGAAAATATTCCCGATTTAATAAAAGCTCAAAGCAGGAAATCTGCTCAATCCATCTATGTTCAAGCGGTAAGATCAAACCACAGCATCACCTGCTTCTGGGTCCACTGGCTTTGGGGACAGTCACTGGAACCTGAGGAAACTGAGGATGGGGCCAAGCTCTTTTCAGTGGTGCCCAGCAACAGGACAAGGGGCAATGGGCACAAACTGAAGCAGAGGAAGCTCCAGCTGAACCCGAGGAAGAACTTCTTCCCTCTGAGGGTGACGGAGCCCTGGCCCA